CAGACTGTAGAAGAGAAGAGAAAAATAGAACAGAATATAGAAGAGAATAGAAAACAGAACAAAACAGAAAGGAGTATCACGGCTGCCGTATCTTCCAGTTACAAGTTTTATTCTTCTGCTCAATAAATAAATCGTAGCAACTCTTTTCTGATCAGGAATTCCTTCTCCTTTCCTTCCTTCACCTCCTCCACTACTTCTTCTTGTCATCATTAATAGTAATAGTAGTAGCCTGGCTTAGAGTACATTTGCAACTTGTTATTCAAGAACTTGTTTTGAATTAGAAAGCAGATCTTGTGGTTTCGGCTGACCAGAGATGGACCACAGATTCTGCCCACAAACCTTGTTTCTAAATCTGCAAGAAAAAGAGACCAGAAGAAGTAGCTCTGGTTTTTATTTAAAAATCTGAATCTCAGATTATCTCCCCGACACTGCTTAAGAAATAAGGATTGAGAAGACTACCTAGATTTCTGGAATCGCTAGTCTAGGTCTAAAACAGGGTTTCCCAACCATGCCCACTTTAAGATCTGTGGACTTCAATTCTCAGAATTCCCCAGCCAGCACAGCTGGCTGGGGAATTCTGGGAGCTGAAGTCCACACATCTTAAAGTAGCCGAGGTTGGGAAACCTTGGTCCAAAGCCATAGAGAACCTTTTTTCCGTTACATATTCCTTGTTTCTCTACCTTTCCCCCCTTTAATGTTTTTTTTCCCCTTATCTTCCTTTTCTCTCCAAGTTGTAAGCCTGGAGAGTCGTTCTTTGCATCTGGCAACCCTGGTTCGGGAAGCAGAACAGCGGGTCAACGATCTCACCGCGCAGGTGGTGAACGAGGTGCCCGACGCGGAAAGCTTAGAAAAAGAGAAACAGCTGAAGGCCTGGGAATGGCGCTACCGGCTTTACAAGCGCATGAACGCCGGATTTGAGCACGCACGTGAGTCTCTGCGAAAACAAGGCCCTTTACGCCGCCCTTCAGAAAGAGCGGGAATGTTGACGTGCTGGAATATTGGAAGAAATATGAAGTCCTTCCAAAGTAGTCATCAGAAAAGGGGAGCCAGGGGCATGCAAACCAGTACCCACATTCAGGTAGTCCTTGATTTACCGCCACGGTGGTAACCAATATTGCCATCTCTAGTTGTTAAGCGAGTTTTGCTCCATTTTATGACCTTTCTTGCCACTGTTGTTAAGTTAGTAACACAGTTGTTCGCAGTGAACCTGGCTTCCCCATTGACTTTGGTCATCAGAAGGTCATGAGACCCCAGGGACACTGCAGCCATCATAAATAGGAGCCAGTTGCCAAGTGTCCTAATTTTGATCTCATGGCCAGGGGGATGCTGCAGCAGTCGTAAGTGTGGGAAAACGGTCAACACTCCCTTTTTTTCCAGTGCCTTTGTAACTTCAGGCAGTCACTAAACAAATGGCTGCAAGTCAAGGATTACCTGTATTGAATGAGAATCCATCCCGTTGGCCATGTCTAAGATGGAGGTTGTCTGTTCTTCTGGTTGAGATCAGCCAGGGGGAATGTAGTAAATGAGTAGGAATATTTACGTCTCCTGTTCTTGAAGCAAGCCACTATTTAGGAGACAGGGTGGCCCAATGACAATAGATTTCCCAGTCCTGTTCCAAGAACCCTTTTGTTGGGCAGAAGTTTGAAACCACATATTTCTCCCAAGTATATACTGCTTGAGCGTGAAGGGAGGTTAAGTTTCGTCAGGGCAATCGGGGGTTTGTAACCAGCATGTTTTTGGGAACACCCTGAGATGAGTCAAGTCAACAAGCAACAAGACTGGTTGACAAATCAACCAAGCTCCACTCAACCGGCTCATTTGAGTTTGAAAGGAAACTTAACTTCCATTCCTAGCTAACCTAGGTGTAATGGGTGGGATATGGCTTGTATCATATCTATATGATCTTCTCCTAACTTCCCAATCCTATGAGCTGTGGAAATAATGTTCTTTGAACTCTGAGAATAGCAAACATTTACAAGTGTAATTCTGTGGGAGAGGATCTAAGTAGCAAAAGCTATCACGGTCGCATTTAAATGCCCCTGTGTCATCATTTAGATGCCCCTGTGAATTATGATAGGTGCAGCCTAAACTACCATTTAGATCAGGGGTCTTCAAACTTGGCAACTTTAAGACTTGTGGACTTCAACTCCCAGAATTAGAAGACAAACACATTTAATAGATAAATAAAGCCAGCCATCAATACACCAATCAGCCAGTAGGAAGGCACCACATAAACACAACTCCCAGAACAGCCCAAAGCATGTATGCCAGGAGAGAGAAATTCCATGAAGATGGGCTTCAGGATGAGTCCGAAAGACTCATCTCTATCTCTGTATCTCTGTCAAGGTTATCTTTCCTTTCCAATATTTTTGTTTCATTTTCTCTGTGAGTATTAGACTCTTAGTTTGCCTTGGATTAAAGAAACATTCCTTCAGCCCACCGGGCTCACTTTTCCTGATATCTGTGCTATATTCCTCTGCCCCCCCCAGGAGTTCCAGATCCACCTACAAATGTCCACCTTTCAGTGGCCAGCAGCACCTCTGTCGAAGTGTCATTTCAGGAGCCTTTAAGTGTCAATTCAGCGATTGTCACCAAATACAAAGGTAAGCCTTTGGGTATTTCATCCATAGCAGCGAACAAAGTGTTCCGAGCATGAAAGTTGAAATCTCCTGGTGATTTGCCCAAAGTCACCTAGCTGGCTTTCATATCTAAGGTGGCTCTAGAATTCACCGTCTCCTGGTGATTCACCCAAAGTCACCGAACTGGCTTTCATGCCTAGAACTCACCGTCTCCTGGTGATTCACCCAAAGTCACTTAACTGTCTTTCATGCCTAGAACTCACCGTCTCCTGGTGATTCACCCAAAGTCACCCAACTGTCTTTCATGCCTAGAACTCACCGTCTCCTGGTGATTCACCCAAAGTCACT